TAAGGCCATGGTACATTTTCTGAAGCAAAATCGTTTGAAATGGGATCATAAATCACAAGAATTGATTTTCGGAGTTTACTGTGAGAACACAAAGGGGTACAGATTAATTGATCCTAATAGTAAGAAGGCAGTGATTAGCAGGGATTTAATATTTATCGAATATTCCATCGATAATGTCATTCAGAAACTTAACGTAAAGCCTCAACTTATTACTTTACCTCTCAGTTCAAGTTGATACCGGTTGATTATAGCTCTCAAACAGACATTGAAAATGTCACATCAACAGCTTCAAGTACTGATACTTCTTTTGACAGCTGTGTGGTGAACAGAAATGATGATGAAACTTATTATCCCAGCTCAAGTGACAGTGATAACAGTTTCGGGAGGAATGTCACTCTGAGATCACATCAAAAATGTAATGAGCAAAATAATAATTTCATGTGTGTTTAGATTATAGATCCACTGACTGTCAAGGAAGCCTTGTCGAGCCCTGATGCCCAACATTGGAAACAAGCAATGGATGAGGAGTATCAGTCCTTATTGGAAAATAATATGTGGGAAATGACTTCTCTACCAGCTAACAAGCGCCCTATACCATGTAAGTGGGTGTTCAAGAGAAAGACCAATGAAAATAGAGAAATAATAAAATACAAGGCACGTCTTGTAATTAAAGGGTGTTCACAAAAACCTGGAATAGACTACACTGAAGTATTTTCACTGGTCGTAAGACATGCTTCGTTGAGGTATTTGTTTGCCCTGGCAGCGAAATATGATTTAAATATATATCAGATGGATGCTGTGTCAGCATTTCTTCAAGGTGACATTGAAGAGGAAATTTACATGATGCAGCCACCTATGTATGAAAACTGATAAAGTATGATGACTGAGAAAATCACTGTATGGATTAAAGCAAGCCAGCAGGCAATGGAACAAGAAACTAGATTTTACATTGAAGCAAATGGGTTTGTTACAGTCTAGATTGGATCCTTGTATTTATTACAAAATTGTCAACAATGAAAATATGGTTTTCCTAGCGGTCTATGTCGATGACCTGATCTTGTTTTCAAATAATCAAGACTCAAAGCAAGAAATCCAAGAAGAATTAGATAAAAAGTTTAAAATAAAGGATTTTATTGGAAATTTGGGTGATATAAATTATTGTATTGGAATACATGTAGAGAGTGACAGGCCAAGAGGCATTATTTATTTGGATCAAAGAAAGTACATTGAAGAAGTGTTAAATAAATATGGAATGTCAGATTGTAAAACTGTTAATACTCATATAAATATGAACACAAAGGTACAAAGTAAATCTGAGGAGAATAAAATCTGAAATGATATACCTTATCAGGAGATTATTGGTTGCTTATTATATGTTTCACATATTACCAGAGCAGACATATGCTATGTTATAAATATGTTGAGTAAATATAACAACAACCCTGACATGCGACATTAGACTGCCCTCAAGCGCGTCATGCGCTACTTAAAAGGTACTCTAGATTATAAATTGAGCTATAAGAAAAATCTACAGGAGACAATGACTCATGGTTACTGTGATGCAGACTGGGCAAGCGTTGAAGATGACCGGCGCTCCTGCACAGGTTACACATTCTTGTTCCAGGGAGGAACAATTAGCTGGAACCCCAGGCGACAACCTACCGTAGCACTCTCCACGACTGAGGCCGAGTACATGTCATTGTCGGCATGTGTACAAGAAGCTGTGGCTGAAGCAGTTTCAAGAAAGTTTTTGGCCTCAGTTGAAGAATAAGGCCTTGGTGATCTATAGCGATAATCAAAGCTCTATAAATCTCTCAGGTTCTGATGGATACCATCCTAGGACCAAACATATTGATGTGAGGCATCACTATGTCCACAAAAAGGTTCTAGAGGGGGCCATTGAGGTACGTTACGTGCAGACCGACAAGATGATTGCAGATGCTCTCACTAAACCAACATCCCAGACGAAACTGGCTTTCTGCTCATCTAGGATGGGATTATGTTTAAGGGAGGATGTTGGAGAATTGTAAACATAATTTATATTATCTGTAATGTCAAAAATGGTTCACATTTTTGCTCACGTGACGCCACCGTCTTTGCTTTTATAGTGTGTTTCTTCTTTTTACTATTTGCATTAAAACCCGTTATATATTTTATTCCGGAGTATTATTTCAACAGTTCTCGATAGCCTAAAACTTAGCTCGTATTTGTATGGAATTGGGGCGCTGTTCCAACTGCGTACAAAATTGGGCTAACTTTTACAACAATTATGAAGTAATGTTGCTCTAACGGAAAACTGATAAGTATATTAATAGATTTATTAATTCCGAGTTCATTATGTTTATTTTTTGCTTGTTTTTTAATCTGATTTCCTTAACAATATTCGGTGATTAATTAAGTTTACCTCAAAAACCTTTTTTTTTTTAAATAGTCATTCACCCGGAGTATACTATCGAAAGTCCCAAATTCGATTTTGTACGTCGATGAACATTTTTTTTGGAGTATCTAAATTGACAGTTTCGATATTATTCGCTGATGTTTAATTTCCTTGTGTAATCGAATCTGGTACATTCATTATTATACGCGGGTACATTAGTCAATGAGCCTATCGAAAATACCACTTTCGATGATTTCATTCGGAATATCTTATTATTATTCTTTATTCGATATATCTACTATATATACAATATATATACTATACTATAGAATATTTCATTTCTTAAAATAAATTTCTATGTTTTATTAATTTATGTTATAACATATCAACAGAACTATATTTTTTACATATCAATTTCTATTTTGTTAACTTATTTGATACATGGACACTATTACAATTTCTCCTAATGTGGCCATACCTAGTGTCGCGTCACTTATAACTGAATCGAACTGAACTGAATGTGAGTCTCCACTTACAACCTTGTTGGATGGTGACTCGTCATCTATAGTTAAAAAAGGAAAATCTACTTTTAAAGTTAACCCAAGCAAAAAAATTTAAAGGTGTAAAGACAGCTGAATAGATGTTGAAAGAAAATTTTCAGTGAATACTGGTCACTAATATATTAGCAGGAATGAATAAGTACATAATAAAAAAGGAATGGGAACGATTTGTAAAGCAACTTGTAAATTAAACTGCTGCGAACATAGTAATGAAACAACTCGTCAGAAAATTCATACAAGCTTTAGGCAATTGGCTGACCATACTAAAAAATTGAACTTTGTTAACAAATTTACCAAAAAGTTAAACAAGCGCCGCTTAACCACTGGAAAGTACATCTATAAGACAGTTTACCACTCGGTATTTCTTACCAGATCCAGTCGAAAATGAAAACTATCCCTGCGAATATAGACGTGTTTGTCTTAATACTTTTTTGAACACCTTGTCGATTACGGATCAATTCGTCCGTACTGCTCATCAAAAACTAAATCAGGAAGGTATCACTTTACCAAATAACAGAGGAAAGCATTGCAACCATATAGTTAAGATAAGACTAATATTATTCAAAGTGTATCTGATCATGTAGCCACGATTGAACCAGTTCAATCCCATTACACCCGAAAAAATAGTAGCAAGCTTTATTTAGATAACAACTTATCAATAAGAAAAATGTTTTCTTTATATAATACTAGCTGACTCGGCAAACGTTGTGTTGCCTTAAATAAGATTTATAGGGAAATTCTAGTGTAGAAAAAAAAACCTACTAAACTAAACGCTACTAAAAACTAAAAGCTACGATTGATACACAAATAAAACCAAAAAAATATGGCTGAAAAATGTATAGTGAGTAAGACAGGAGACCGGCTTCGTCCTCATCCCTAGTACGTGATGTTTGCTGGATGAGTGGTGACACCTAGCGGGGATAACTGATCGATTGATAGTTAGTTGATCAGTAGTCGACCGGCGAGGGCTGGAGATCAAATTGAATTTAAAAAAAAAATCATAATTAAAGGAACTTGAAATTATAAACTCTGAATAAGAATTTATCGTACTACAATAATTGTAATGTTTGATTACCATCTTGCAACCTTATTGCGGATCTGTGCAAAGAATTAAAAAAAATCGGGATGCAAAAATAGGGGTTGATCGTATAAGAGTGAAAATTGAGAGTAATATATACTTTTTAATTTTAAGTCATGACAAAATAAAATAAAAATTCTTGTCAAAAAAAATAATAGGGGTTGATCATAGAGGGATGAAAAATTGAGAGTAACATCAAATTTTTTATTTTAATTCATAAGAAAATAAAATTAAAAATGAAAATCTTGCCAAAAAAATTTAAGTTTATAATTAACAAATAAAAAAATAGGGGTTGATCGTAGAGGGGTGATAATTTAGGGTTGTATGTACTTTTGTATGCTGTATTATAAAAATATAAAAACAAAAAAAATTGTCTAAAAAATAAAATAATAAATTTAGGGGTGGAGGACCACCCTTAACATTTAGGGGGATGAAAAATAAATGTCCGATTCTCCACCCTGGCCGATATGCACGCTAAGGTTCACGAAATTCGGTGGAGCCGTTTCGGAGGAGTTCAATCACGCACACCTTGACACGAGAATTTTATATATTAGATAATGGGTGGGACAATCTTCATCTTTATAATAACAAAGCGCAAACTTTACGACCGTATACAGACATCATTAATGAAAACATAAATAGGGTATAGGTGACAAATGCCACAGTTTTTCTAATTTTGTTTTTTTTTTTTTATTGCTTAGATGGGTGGACGAGCTCACAGCCCACCTGATGTTAAGTGGTTACTGGAGCCCATAGACATCTACAACGTAAATGCGCCAACCACCTTGAGATATAAGGTCTAAGGTTTCAATATAGTTACAACGGCTGCCCCACCCTTTAAACCGAAACGCATTACTGCTCCACGGCAGAAATAGGCGGGGTGGTGGTACCTACCCGTGCGGACTCACAAGCATCTCATATAAATAACTATACAAAAGGCATGTAGGCTTTGTTTATTTTATTTTCTTATTAATTTGTAATTCAGCCGGCGAGTTCGGGCCCAGAGGAAGTTCGCACAAGGAGCTTACATCCCTCAGCTCAACCTGAGTACTGAACGTCGCCGGGACAATCAAAATAAAGAAGATCCACCACCCAGCTCTGTTGCTATGGTACATAGCAGTGTCGTCAACACATCAGCTAGGTCGCTTTTAGATATTGTCTCATTCAATAGTAAGTCTTAATTAACAATAATAATAAATAAACAAAGAATCAATTTACGAATTAAATACTTTATAAATAAATAACTTCTTTTCTTTTTTCAGATGTGCATAGTCATGACCAACCGATCGTATTGCTTGAAAGACTGTCATCCCCTGTTATCCCCAGTTCAAGCAAACCAGTTGTAAAAGAGAAATCTGTAGAAACAAACAATAATTTATTCAATGACACTTCAATTCCAAAGGAGCTAACAGTTAAACCACATAATATGACTTTGAGAGTCAATCATAAACGGAATGATGTCTTGATTGGAACCAAACGAAGTCCGTCTATATCTCAGCCAAATTTACTCCCGCCGCTAAGTCGTAGTCCTACACCCAGTGTCAGTACACTAGCAAGCTGCAGCCCTCTACGCGCTCGCTCACTCCAAACCAGTCGAAGTCAGCGTCACAGCTACATACCTCGAACTAGCTTTAGTCAACAACACAACAGTCGTCCTCGCCACTGTCGAAATCTAATACCCAAATGTAGTAGTATTTCTCAACCAATCCGAAAACATTCCACTCGTAATATCCAACCCAATCGTTGTGCTCAACCTAGCTGTAGCACGCAGGCCGCCCGCAGTGCCCGGCCACGCCGCAATATCCAGTCCAGCTGCAATAAAGAATCAAAAACAAAAACCCAAACTGTTCATAATAAGAGAAAAACGTCTTCGAAGAACTTCAAACCCCAGAAAAGGCGCCGCCTAGGGCACCTTCCTTCTTCAGATTTCAGTGTGGAAGATTGCAAACCACTTACGTACTTTGCTGCAAACGGTTCTGGAAACACGAGGCAGATTACTCAAGGTATTCCCTTAAACGATTCTAGTCATTTATTACATTTGTGTGTAAAATATCATTATTCAATTCATACAATTACTTCAGGGAACCAATCAATTTATGAATCTAAAACTATAAAAGTAAAGTATAAATAATAAATGAAATAACAACACAATTTTAAGCATTGTAAGTGAAAAATATGTTGTGGAAGACCTTATAGTACAGTGGACCGATGACATAGTCAGGATGGCGAAGCAGACTTAGACGAGAATGGCGATCGCACAATATGGCATAAAAAACGGGGAGGCATATATCCTGCAGTGGTTACCAAGGGGCTGAAGATGAATGAATGAATAAGTTAAAAAAAGTAGAAGTTGAGGAATTTCCCATGACTATCTAAGAGCATTCTCTTATTAAACAGCAACTTACTGTCTTTCAAGTCTTAAGAGATTAGTGTACCTTTCAAGTCTTAGTGCTGCTAGGCACTTGACTTCTTCCTCGTCAGATACTCTCCATCTACAGAGTTGCATCTCGTCATCGCCGCTCGCTTCCAAGGCAGCTTGGCACTTGACTACTGAAACTTATTTCATTTGTTGAATAATCCCGAGTAAAAAAGCTATTTGGAAAAAATCTACTATTTACTGTCCTAGTAGTGTTTGAGTTCTTGCTATTGCATAAGAACAGTTGGACTGGCAGCCCGTCTCTCTACAACTTTACAAGCAACTTTTGACCAAAATAGTGAGGGTTATATAAAATATGTGTGCTGCTTTCATATTATATTACATAAAATTACTGTGAAAATCTAAAGTGTATCTTAACGCTTCACAGATTCTAATGAACAAGAAGATGCGTGCCCTTCAAGTAAGTATCCTATCTATAATAACTAGAGGTCGGAGTAGGTAGATTGATTTTAGGTCATTGACGTCAAACGTAGAGGATAATATAAATATGCCACCAAAATACCGGAACTTCATATGTATTGTGATATTTGTTTCGGAATTTCGAAATTAGCATGAATCTGTGTTTAAGGTGAAAAACGCATTAATAATATTAATCTACTCTCCCAGTGCTAGCTAATGGTGAAAGAAATCAATATTTTATATTATACAAAAATACCTTGGAATAGTTACACCGTATTTTGTCCCTTTCTGTTGAATTAGAAATGACGCTTGTCAGTATGAGACAAAACTAAGCCAGGGCTTTTTGTTACTTTATCTCATAAATATAGAAATTGTATCCGTTGAGGACTAAATTTTTTTTTTTCAGTTTAAAAAAATTATCATTATGGATAAAATGGCATGTCCATATTATAATATCTTGACGCAATTATATAAAATCAATCTACCTACTCCGAACACTGATAATAACCTATTATTTTTTCACTATTAAAAAGTTACAAACTTTCTATTGAAACGATGATAATTTTTTATTTATTTATTAAAGCTCTGTTTATGTAATAGAATTTACTCTTATAGGTCCATTATTACCATCACATCAAAAATTTAATAAAAAATCAGTCTTAACTGAGAACTGCAAGGTGTTGTGTTCTAATCAAAATGTGGAACTGAAAAGAACAGACAATGGTAAACCAGAAATACTAGTTCCCAAATTATTCAGAATACCAGAAATACCACAGCAAAATAACGATATTGTTTCTGATTCGGAACAAAACAAGGAAACAAGCATCGATACTAATCAAGAAACATTGGATAAAGTGGAAGTTGAGTCGAGTGCTTCCAGCCCCATGTTATGGTCTACACATTTTAAACTCAACCAAGCCGACTATATTCATGCCAACATTGTCGACTCGATATTGGCAAGACTCGATAGTCCTATTCCTGGAGAAACCAAAGAGGCTACAAATGTGGTTGAAAATGAAGGCTGCTCTACGCCTGAGGCCAATAACCATGATTATGTCGTTCAAGTTGAAATATCAGAAAACAAAGATGAGGACTTTAAAGACATTGAAGAGAATTCATTAACTATTGAAGAGAATTCATTAACTATTGAAGATCACAACATCAGCATTAATAGTCCTCCACGCGACCAAACTGACAAACCGAAGGAAACTGGCGAAATAAACGATAGCGAAGTGTTCGAAGATACTAATAATAAAGAAGACACATTACTTTGTGAAAGTGATGGTATCGAGAAACCTACAAACTCAGAAAATTATACGTCAACAACATGTGAACACACGTCCAATTTCCACACATGCGCACGGTGTTCAATATATAAAAGGTTGAACTCATTTTCAAGCAAACTAAAAACGGAGGTGGAGTCTATTTGCATTATTGAAGACGACGTGTATGAATTCGATGTTGTAAATGAAGAACCTACACAAGTTGTGGAACCATATAACTCCAAACAAAATAGATCTTCAACTTCCTCGGCAATTGATACGAATAGTTTGGGTAGTGTTACGATTTCTGAAACTTCTGAAAATACACCAAGTTTAAATGACACTACACTGGAACAACAGAATACATTACTTCAGAACGTTTCGCACATAACTACGATGCCTCATGATACATCCACGAATGAATTACTCACGCCAGTATACGCTGAATCTCATACATCAACTGCGCCTGTTATATCTACGAGTGCCATCATCTCTTCACCACCACCAAAATGTGTGGTGTATTCTTCACCTATAGCATCTATTGCAACCACAAATGCTATGATGTCTATTTCTTCTCCCGTAACTTGTCCCTCTATAGCCTTAGGACGAAGTGAGTCACACGTATCTACGATATCTTCCTCAATCAATGCACCAATTGGACAAACCATAATTGCTCTACCTATTATGTCAATTAGCTCGAAAATCCCCGTTATGGTTAATCAACCTAAAAATCCCGATTCTGGTCAATCTACTAAAATAAAAGGTAAGGGTAAATCTAGACGCCCCAAAAAACATATGCTGTCTGATTCAGTGAATGGAAATTCTCAATCAGCAACACTTACAGATATGAATTCATCCAAAAAACATTCGTCGTCCATTACAAGATCTACACCTTGTAAACCTAGTCCGATTGCACCTAAACCATCGATGCCTACCTTACTCGCTATGTCCAGGGGGACCGTTCCCTTATATTCAGTACCTGTGGCAGCCACTAAATTTACAGCAACCACCCCACTGTTTGGAATTAATTTGGCTGCCATCACTGTTCCAATAACGTTACATAGCAGTACTGCATTTGGTCCACGTAGTACCTCAGATACTGCAAATGCTATTTTTACTGCATCTAATGAATTGGTGAAGTCCACTGATGCATCCAGAACTTCCTCTGACGCTACAACAGTCACTAATATTAGGCCAACTAATGAATCAACAGAAATTACTACTCCCACAGCAACTTCCACTGTTAAAGATGTACTTTTATCACGTGCGGAACCCGTTGAAAATGTTATACTGGATAATGTTACGGCTCGGAATTCCGTCAAAGGAAAAGATTCGACCTCAATACAACTTGCAAATCCAATTGCAGTTCAACCCGCAGTGCCTACCACGATACAACCCGGACAACGTGATTCGCTGACCGAATGCTTATCCACTTTACAATTAATAGATAGAACCGTAGCACAACCTGTAGATGCAGCTACTGTAAATACTGAACACCTGACCATGGTAAAAGTCGCAGATTCCACCGCTGTACATCACACGAATCCAACTATCACGCAACATGCAGCTCCGAACACAGTACAACCTGCAAGTTCAACCACCGTACAAAGAGCTGACCCAACGGTAGTAAAACGTGCAGATATAATAGCCATAAAACCTACAAATACGAATATAGTACTACCTGCAAATTTGGCTGCTATACGAACCACTAAACGTACAACTGTACAAGCTGCGTACTTTGAACGAGTAGGACTTTTAGCACTCAAGCTGACAAGGCCTACACTTTCAATAGCATCAACGAATACTAAAGCCGTAGAATCCGCAGATCCGAAGCTCCAACAATCCGAAAATATACAGTCAATAAAAAAATGTACTTCTGATCCTGTAGGATTTGAAACCGCCGTGACTATCAGTCAGGACTCTGTCAAATCTGCGCATTCAAGTACGGTCCAGTGCTCAATTTCCAACTTGGGAACACCCGCCGAACCTAACCCAAGTAGTTCATCTGACCTTAACCAGGTAGAACCCGCAGCTCTTGATTTTGAACAACCTGCAGAATGTAACTTAGTAGCGGCCGTAAATTCTAGGCAGGTCAAACTCGCAGACCATAATTCAGGAACGCTCCCCAAACCTAATTTAATTGCACCTGCAGATCCTCCGATCGAACCTGTTGATCGTAATGGGTTACCACCAGCCGACCGTAATGTGCTACTCCCCGCAGTACCTGGTTTTGCAGCACCTGCAAATCCCAATTTAAGGGTGCCCGAGAATCCTTTATTGATAGAACCTGCTGCGGGCCCAGACTTAGGGCCTGCAAATGCTGAATTGCAAGGACCCGAAAGACCAAATAATGCTTTGTTATTTATAAACATGCCTCAAATGACAAATCACGCTATTAAACTTGTGAATAATAATGATGGCGAACGAATTTGGTCTGCTAGAGTGATAGACAAGCAAAAAAAAAATGAACCTGTTTTTGTGGACCTTACGTTAGATGACGATGATGTATCGATGGATAATTCTACAATAAATAGGGTTATGGAGCATGAAGAAATAAAATGTGAAGATGATGAACATGAGCAAAATGAGGTGTTACAGCATAATGCTAAAGCAGATGGCTTAATGAACAACGAATTACAAGTAGATGCCGAGGTAAGCAACAACCGTGAACAAAGAAAAGACGTCCAGAGTCGGTTAAACATCGTTCAAGAAGCAAACCCATCACAATGTCAATCTAAATTAAATGATCGTGTAAATCTTCTGTGTACGTCAAGTTTATCTGAAAATTTAAAAATTGCGTCTGTTAAATCTTCTGAACCTAAGTCTCGGAATGTAGCCATTGAACAAGTGGCAGCCAAACGCAATAAGTCAGTAGCAACCAGTATATCATTGGATGATATATGTGAATTACCTAAAGCAAAAGACGCAGCAACAAACACAACACCAGCACCAATGGATCGAAATATAAACAGCCCTACAACTTATTCTTCAGTTCCAAGAACTCGTGAATACATGAGTACCTCTCGTGATTACCTTGTCTTTGATGGCGAACCTATTCCAAGTACTTCACGCGATTACTCGAGCCAGAATGGTGAATCTAACGCCTCTAGGGGTTGCTTTAACTTCAACGGTGAACAGATGCCGAGTAACACTAGAACTTACTTCAGCTTGAATGGTGAGCAAATACAAAATACCTCTCGAGGCTATTTTAGTCTGAATGGTGAATCGACGTCAAATAACTCTCGAGGCCGCTTCTTCTTAAATGGTGAAACTATGTCGAGTTCCTCTTGCGGTTATACTAGGGAATATGGTGAAGCTATATCGAATACCTGTCGCAGTTATATGAGCGTGAACGGTGAACCGATACCAAGTACTTCTCGCAGTCATATTGAGACAAAAGGAGAAACCCTATCGAGTACTTTTCGGGCTAACATTGGGATAAACAGGGAACCTCTACCGAGTACTTCTCGCGGTCACAATAACATAAAAGAGGAACCACTGCCGGCTACTTCTCGTGGTCACATTGGAACAAACGCAGAAACGCCACCGAGTACTTCTCGGGGTCAAATTGAGATAAACAGGGTACTGCTACCGAGTACTTCTCGCGCTCATATTGGGATAAACGGTGAACCGCTACCAAGTACTTCAGGCAATCACAATAGGATAAACGAGGAACTGTTACCGACTACTTCTCGCGGTCACATGGGCATAAACGGTGAACCGCTGCCAAGTACTTCTCGCTGTTGTATTGGTGAACCGTTTCTGAATACATCTCGTAGTTACTGGGTTGTGAATGGTCCATCAGTAAGTGCAAGAAGCTCCCGCGATTATCCGTGTGAACCCGTTCTAACCATTTCTCATGATCGAAGCAATGATAACAGAAAATCAAAGCAAATGATTTCTCGTGACCAAAGCTGTGAATGTACAGAATCTGCACCGAAAACTGTTCAGGATCAAAGTTGCGAAGATACAGAATCTACAATAAGAGCGTTTCTAATTAGGGAATCAAACCTAATGAGTTCTAGTGATGAGAGTTCGGAAGACATACGTTCTACACCAAACAACTCTCTTGATCTAAATCACGGTAATAAACAGTCAAAGGAAAAGTTTTCTCGTATTCAAAACCACGAAATTACAGAATTCAGGACAAGTGCTTGTCGCCATGAAATAAGGGACGGTAAAACATTGAAACGAAGAACTTCTCGTCACAAAAGCGACGAAAAAAGACCAAGTCCTTATTCTAAACAAAGTGCTGAGAAAAGAGGGCTGGTGCCAAATACATATCGTAATCAAAGTGGCGAGAACAGAATACCTCTCCTAAGTACTGATAAACGAAGCAATGAGAACGATACACTGATGCCGAATACTTTTTGTGATCAATGCTGCGATATCCGAAATTCAAAACATGGGAACACTCATATTGAAATAGACAAAAATAAAAAATCCACAATAAGAACTTGTCGTGACCACAGCGGGGAGAAAAGAGTACCGATACCAAGTAATCAAATCAGAGAGAGTAAATCATTTCTGCCCAGCACTTGTGAGCGATCCCATGAGAATAGAAAATCAACTCAAATAAATTCTCGTGATGAAATCGACGACAGTACAACATTCACGTCTTGTGATCGTTGCGGCGAAACCAGGAAAACTAATCCAAAAACATCATGTGATAAAAGCTATGAAAACACAGAATCAACAACAAGCCTAACTAATGATCGAAGCGGCGAGAAAACAGTACCAATGCCAAGTAATTATAAACAAAATGCCGAGAGTAGATCACACGTGCCAAGTACTTCTTGTGATCAGTGCCGCGAAAACAGAAAATCAAAACGAAGTAGCTCTGGAGTTGAAAGCACAGAAAATACAGAATCCACGTCAAGTACATTTAGTAATCAGAGCGAAGACATAGAAATCCCTAGTACTTCGCGCAATCAAAGTGATATGGCTACCGTGCTAAAACCTAACGATTACTGTGATCAATGCAGGCACACATGTAACCGTAATAGGAAGTCAAATCAAACAAACTCTAGTGATGAAAATTCTGAAAATACAGAATCCATACTAATCGCGCTTCGTGATCAAACCGGCGAAAGCAGGAAATCGAAACGGACATCTCGTGATAAAAGTTGCGAATACACTGAATCCGACCGCGATATTAACCGCGAACCAAACGGGGAGAACGCAAAACGAAAACAAATATGTTATCGTAATGAGAGCACTGACAACACAGAACTCACATCAAGTGTCACTCGTGATTGCAGCGGCGATTTAAAAAAATCAAATCGAAATAGTTTACGGGTCGTACGCGGCGAAATTGGAGCACCCACTTCAAATACTCGCGATCAAAGTGACTCTAATAAGAAGTCAGATCGCAGGTTTTCTGGCGACCAGAGTGGTGAGAACATAGTACGAACGCCGAGTACGTCCTGTGCTCACGGTGGTGAAGATTGTGTGTCAACACCAAGTACATCTAGACATCAAAGCGATGAGGATACGGAAACTGTGCCCAGTACTGTTGTTATCCAAACTGACGAAAATATAGAAACAGTGCAAAGTGATCAAGCAGTTCAACTCAACAACAGACCCGCCACTCTACTTAGATTTCCGAGGGGCATCGAAAGAGCGAAAATCGTAGATGCTCCTATATACTATCCTACACTAGAAGAATTTAAAGTAAGTCCTTTCATATTATAATTTATTTGTTTACTTACAGTTTGTATGTTGGAAGTTTTGAGATTAATGTCCGGATATCTAAAAACTCCGTCTTTAATGAAAGTAATATATATATTTTATATTGATACTAGTAACACGCATCGCCTTGGCTCTAGCTCAGTTACTTTTTTACTTGTGTTATTTTATTCTGCGACATCTAAAGTAATCTATCATTTCAATTACCTATAGTCCACGACACATCTATTTACTTAAGCTAAGTAAGTAAGGGTAAATATATGAAAATAATTAAGAGTAAATTAACCATAGATACAGCTCACTGAGTTTCTCGCCGGATCTTGTCAGTGGGTTGCGTTTCTGATCCGGTGGTAGATTCTGTGAAGGACTGCTCTTGCTAGGTCCAGACTTAGAAACACTTCGGCCTGTTGAGCTCCGAGAGCTCAACAGGCTAGAGTAAAGCTGAAATGGCCTCCCACGGCTATCAGCATAGGTAAGAAAGACAAAAAAAAGTGTAAAAATTGATTTTGCCTCGTATCCATTTTGATTAATGATTACAGGATCCAATTACATATTTCGAGAAGATCATGGCGACAGCTTCGAAGTACGGGCTTTGTAAAGTGGTCGCTCCTGAGGGATTCAAGCCTTCGTGCAACACGAGCGACGACATCAGGTTTAAAGTATCAAACCAGTACATAGCGCGTATGTACAGTCGATGGGGACCAGCGCAGCGAGAGATATGCGCGATCAAAGCGTACTCGGCCTTACAAAGCGTTCCCTTCACGAGAGCACCTTTGGTTAGTACGAATCTAACTTTTTATTTTTTTTTTTAGATGCTTAGATGAGTGGACGAGCTCACAGCCTACTTGGTGTTAAGTGGTTACTGGAGCCCACATCTACAACGTAAATGCGCCACCCATCTTGAGATATAAGTTCTAAGGTCTCAAGTATAGTTACAACGGCTGCCTAACCCTTCAAACCGAAATGCATTACTGCTTCACGGCAGAAATAGGCAGGGTGGTGGTACCTACCCACGCGGACACACTTACTGGTACCTATTTCTACCATAGCGGATAGATAACGGTATAAGTCAAGTATTACTCAAAAAAACCAAAAAATTATAGTATAATAATAAAAAAAGTAATGAAGTCAAATGTGTAAAAGCAATAACACACGATACCTACATTCATTTTCAATGCAAAAGTTCAAAATGGTATGTTTAGTGTTAAACACACTGTTCCTTGGTTGAAATAATAAACTTAGTAAACTAGGTTTTATATTCATATCATCATAAAAGTAAAATTTATATATACTAGTGGTCCCGCAGTAGTTAAAATTCGACTAGTATTAATTAATAAAACATAATGAATTGAAGTTATAAAGGGGAATTCCCATTTCAGGCCCAAAGCGGACAATAGATTAGAGAAAAAATACTTAGTGCATTAATTTTGTCATAAATAAATATGCATTTACTTTCTTTCAAATAAGCGCCACTACAGTTTACAATAAGTAGTTTAAAAAAAGTAACTCTATTGAAAAAACAAGATTTTTATTTTTGCGGGAAAAATGTTGCCAGCATTAAAACCTTTTACGTATTAAGTAAACATTTTAAGTATATAAATAAAACATATAAATAAATCATTTTAAGTATTATCATTAATAAATCGATTTTAATCGATTATAAGCACATATAATAACATCAAAGACATACCCATTGGACTTTAACTTGTTAGTTTACTTGAGACCTTAGAACTTATATCTCAAGGTGGGTGGCGCATTTACGTTGTAGATGTCTGTGGGTTCCAGTAACCACTTAACACCAGAGTGGCTGTGAGATCGTCCACCCATCTAAGCAATAAAAAAAAATTAACTAGTATTGTTATTTAAATATGTACAACTAAAACAAAAACATAAAAAATAATGTGTACTCGTAAAAAAAAAGATTAAGAAATAAATCAATTATCGGTTATTTAAAAAAATGATCGATATATGAATTTCATGTAATTATTTTTCTTTATACTGACAACACTGATTTTAATCTGACTGCCACCTCGCTTGCTGCTTGTGCTTGCGTTCAGAATGGATGTGTTTTGATTTTTTTCGATTTATTTTGCTTTTATCAATAACGTTTCATATTACGACTGAAAAACATTGTGTGAATTGTGGTTTTAACCTGACCGAGATTTAAAACCGTGTGTATGCTCTCCTGTGCTATTTTTAGATGATTTACTAATTGTGTATGAAGATGAAGAAAATATAGATAATTAAAGAAGTATGCGTGTTTTTTTATACCCTAATAACTACAATTGGATAAAAATACATTAGGAACATCTTAGACATTAAAAAAAGAAAAGTTCTTGTAGTATTTATATAGAAAATTAACTTCAAAATGAGTTTTTATTTTTATTATATTTTTTATAATAGTGGCGTCAATTTCAATATATTTTTTAGATATCCAATACATTTAAGAATATGAATCAGTCCATTTTTATAGTAATATTTGATGTCCACCTTGGGCCCAGCACACTATGGAGAGTGGGCATTCCCCTTTGAACATTATTATGGTTCTATTGTCAAAGATTTTATATTTCTATAATCATAGATTTCGCCAAGACACTATAGATTAGTATAGACTATAGACAAATGTGTATATTGTTTTTTTTAATTGATCTAATATATATTTTATGCATTAATTAAAAAAAAAAAAACTTTCTGCACTCCTCTATATTCTCTATAAGTGTTGGTAATTTCATACTCCTCCGTCCGCGCAATTTTCGTAAAAAGGGGTTAACAAAACAAAGTTTTTGCATCATGTATTAATCTATACTTCTATACTAATACATAAATCTACAGTGGTTTTAACGGATGTTCCGTTATAACTACTGAACCATGCATCCGGTTGACTTGAAACTTGGTATCCATGTAGAAAATACATGTACTTAATGGTTAGGCAGTTGCGGGGGCGTTAATGATGAGATTTTTTCTGGGGGTGAGAAATAATAATGTTAATTTTAAATGCCCAGCGAAGCGGACGGTTACAGCTAATTATATATAGATATTTTTGTTGACATGTAGCTGAATTGTATGGAGCTCGACCTTGCTAAGTTGTATCACTTAGTGCAATTCAACGGGGGTCTTAAGAAAGTTATCGAAAAGAAACGTTGGATCCGCGTCGCCGAGCAGATGCGTTATTGCAAGAACCCGCAGCAAGTGAAGAAACTCGATATAATCTACGTTAAATATTTACTGCCTTATCACACACTATCGCACCGTGAGTATTTAACTTGAAAATATCCAGAAAAAACGACGCCAGGAAAATAACGCAATTAATTATCCTTTTCTTTTTTATAGCCTTTATAGTTGGACAAGCTCACGGCCTACCTGGTGTTAAGTGGCAACCGGAGCCCATAGAAATTTACAACGTAAATGCCGCCACCCATCTCGAGACAAAGTTCTAAGGTCTCAGTTTTTACAGTACAACAGCAGCAGCTGCTCTACCTTTCAAACCGAAAAGCATTACTGCTTCACGGCAGAAATAAATAAATAATAAATAATAATAAATATTTATGTTAAATTAATGTTCGTAATGAAACATGGGAATCATTAAATTTCCATCATTAAGTTTCAAGAGATCTTTTTTGCCACGCACCATCCGGCTATGGAATGAGCTCCCCTCCACGGTGTTTCCCGAGCGCTATGACATGTCCTTCTTCAAACGAGGCTTGTGCAGAGTATTAAGCGGTAGGCAGCAGCTTGGCTCTGCCCTTGGCATTGCTGAAGTCCATGGGCGACGGTAACCACTCACCATCAGGTAGGCCGTATGCTCGTCTGCCTACAAAGGCAATAAAAAAAAATTCATAATAAAATTGGGTGATATGTAATTTTTTTTTTAATTCCTTAAGAAATAATCTTGGGAACTTTGGTGATTGGTGTAATTTTCAACAATAAAAAATATTAATAATAGTTTATAACGTCACGGTCATTGAAGTACTTATATATTCTTTCTCCTACACATACTTATACCTACCTACCTATCTATCTCCTAATTAAGTACTGCGTCATTTTCAAACGAAATTTAAATGAAAATATGTGTCAAAATAGATGTACAAGAGATTACAAACGATTCATATCTTGTTATAATATTGAGTAAAACTCGAGATAATATCACAGAACGAATAACTTTCATTACTAATTAAAACGATGACGCTCGAGTGGATTCCAGTCTCAATCAACACACACAGACACACGTGCACGCGCACACACACACACACAGTAGGGTAAAAATTCGGTAACATAATTTAACGCACTCACATGACAACTAATAGTATTTTTTTTTTTGTTAAAACCTATTATTATGTACAGAAGAACGTCACGATATGCTCAGTCAAGTGGAACGGTGCTGGTTAAAGAAGAACCAAAGGATGCTGGACAGGGCTTTTAACCCGCTGCACCGGCAAAAGCGACTGCTGGGCGAGTCCGACTCGTCGACTGATGACGAAGACGACGACTACAATGTGTCCTCCGCTCTCCAAGAGGCCGAGGACTGCGTCGTGCTCGGGAGGAACATGAACCTCGCCATGTTTAAACAGGTCAGTTTCGTTTTGACGTGACAACGTCTTATAATTCGACGGAGCCGGCTGCACGCACGAAAAAACATGACTCATTGAGGCGTTCCATTTAAGGCTTGAAGTGCAAGCGAGAGCGCGCTACGAGCGACAAAGAGGCACAATCGGCCTCCGCGTTCGGCAGCGTTCGACATCCGTCTCTCTCCTACTTGAGTGAGCGATGCATCCGCGTGTACAGCTGCTATACAATAATACATTTACATGTTTTCGTCAAGTATAAAGTTCAGTGAAAAGTGAATGTGGTGTCAATTGTTTATAGCAACGATAATTGCGATAATTGAAAAATGAAACCATTCCATCAGTATTTTCTTATGACGTTGTCACGTTCAACTATCGTCAGTAAACCGACTTTACAGACAACCGATTTTTTTTAACCACAATTAATGTTGGCTGCTCGAATGAGAGTCAAAATTCTATCTAAATTCCTCTATAACGTGAGGCAACCCTAAAGACTGTAAGTAGTCGCTGCTGCCAACTTTTTGGCGGGAACGCGAGGAGTGAAGTCGTGTGATTTGTTTTATTTTTTCTATTTACATTCTCCAGGTTTAAATGTGTAATAAAGGTGGTTTATTAACTGTTTAATATCTGTGAAAGTGCAGAAATGTGGGAAAATCAAACAAAGCCGCTGGACGTAACTTCTCGGGATCCTCCAAAGAGTCCACTGAAAAAATCTCAGTAAATTACCACCATTTTACTGAGATTATATTTCATCCCATATCATTTAATCTCATTTCATTAAAGGGGATTGCCCACTCTCCATAGTGTGCTAGGCCTAAGATGGACATCAAATATTACTATAAAAATGTACTGATTCAAATTCTTAAATGTATTGGATATCTAAAAAATATATTGAAATTGACGCCACTATTATAAAAAATATAATAAAAATAAAAACTCGTTTTGAGGTTAATTTTCTATATAAATAAGTGTCGGATTGTGAGATACTTCAAGAACTTTTCTTTTCTTAATGTTTAAGATGTTCCTAATGTATTTTTATCCAATAGGGTATAAAAACACACTTAATTCTTTAAATATCTATATTTTCTTCATCTTCATACACAATTAGTATCATCTAAAAATAGCAAAGGAGAGCATATACACGGTTTTAAATCTCGGTCAGGGTAAAACCACAATTCACACAATGTTTTTTAGTCGTAGTATGAAGCGTTATTGATAAAAGTAAAATAAATCGAAGAAAAATCAAAACACATCCATTTTGTACGCAAGCACAACACCACAAGCAGCAAGCGAAGTATCAGTCAGTCAGATTAAATTCAGTGTTGTCAGTATAAAGAAAAATAATTACATGAAATTCATATATCGATTATTTTTTTAATTTAATTTATTAACCGATAATTGATTTATATCTTAATCTTTTTTTTACGAGTACACATTATTTTTTATGTTTTTGTTTTAGTTGTACATATTTAAAATAACAATACTAGTAAAGTTTTTTTTATTGCTTAGATGGGTGGGCGAGCTCACAGCTACCCTGGTGTTGCTAAGTGGTTACTCGAGCCCACATACATCTACAACGTAAATGCGCCACCCACCTTGAGACATAAGTTCTAAGGTCTCAAGTATAGTTACAAGTTAAAGTCCAATGGGTATGTCTTCGATGTTATTTTATGTGCATAAAATCCATTAAAATCGTTTGATTAATGATAATACTTAAAATGATTTATTTATATGTTTTATTTATATGCTCAAAATATTTACTTCATACGTAAAAGGATTTGAAGCTGGCAATATTTTTCCCGCAAAAATAAAAATCCTTGTTTTTCTAATAGAGTTACTTTTTTTAAACTACTTATTGTAAACTATAGTGGCGCTTATTTGCAAGAAAGTAAATGCATATTTATTTATGACAAAATTAATGCACTAAGTATTTTTTCTATAATCTATTGTCCGCTTTGGGCCTAAAATGGGCCATCCCCTTTCATCTCAGTTGATTATTGTCTTAAATTAATCATTTTCATTTAATTTCATTTCAGTCCATATTATCATTTTTCATGAAAATAAGAATTAAAATTAAAATAAGACGTGACTTAAAGGTCTTAGTTACTAGGTCATAAAATCCGTTAAAAAAATAAAGTTGCTGCTACCCAATGCATCTATGCATACAGCCAGCCTCTTACTTACCGTAAACAGATTTATCGGATCGGTTATTATGTGAACGTTTAATATTCTCCTTAAAGCAGGCTGCGCGTCAAAACTATAAAAAAACAGGCAATTACAAAAACCGAACAAAACCTTTACAAGCAAATCTTTAATTTGTCGCTGTTTTAATTAAATATTTGATACTATATTTAATACTTAAGACACGGGTTCCGCCTAAATCTAAGCGGTGACTGATGGATTTTCACGCTGACCAGACACACCGGTGTGGATGTGGTCAGCATGTACTCGTGTAGTCTTCTGCACACCCTGTTAAATAAGCACTGCTGTCCAATAATAGACGGGATAGGATACCAAACACGGCATCACATAATTCAAATACCGACATTATTTGTTTTGCCCATATTGCCATTTACCTCCCGATCCACTAACGGTTCTTTTAGGTACCTCAAGCACCGGTCACCATCCTCGCCGAACCCGTCGCCTGTGACGAAGGGCTCGGCGAGTAAACTAACCCATAGATACAGCCCACTGAGTTTTTCGCCGGATCTTCTCAGCGGATCCCCATTCCGATTCCGTAGTAGATTCTGCGAAGCAGTTGCTCTTGAGTTGTTAGGTCTTCTTTGAAGGCGCTCGGGCAGCTGTTAGCAAATGCCATCCCTCCTGGCTGAGCCCATGCTTGCCCACATATCAACCGGAATGGCATGTGGGCTACCAGTAATCCTTCCATCTTAAAAAATAGTATACTTAGTCCGGCCATAAATACTGTTACAATTAAAAATAAACGAAATATTACATTTGAATTTGGAATCTGTCATTTTTATATGATTGCTCATTTTGGCGCCAATACATTGTACAATATTTTGCGATATTAAAATGGAGTGGGGTGATAAAGAGAACCGAATCGCTGTGATTGCATTACACAAAGTAGGTATGGAGCCAAATGCAATTTTTAAAACTCTCCATACGCTTGGTATTAGTAAAATGTTTGTGTACCGGGCTATTAATAGGTGCAATGAGACCTCTGTTTGTGACAGAAAAATATCTGGCCGTCCACGTAGGGTTCGTACGAAAAAGGTGGTCAAAGCAGTAAGGGAAAGAATTCGAAGAAATCCTGTCCGAAAGCAAAAGATTTTATCTCGGGAGATGAAGATAGCATCTAAAACCATGTCGCGTATTTTAAAAGATGACTAAGGACTTGCAGCCTATAATAGACGTACTGGTCATTTCTTAACTGATAATTTAAAAGAGAATAGGGTGGTAAAATCAAAACAACTACTGAAGCGGTACGCAAAGGGAGGTCATAGAAAAAATTTGTTTACGGATGAGAATTTTTTTACAATTGAGCAACATTTTAACAAATAAAACGACCGTATTTATGCTCAAAGCTCTAAGGAAGCTTCCCAATTAGTCGACAGAGTGCAACGTGGGCACTATCCGACTTCAGTGATGGTTTGGTGGGGTATTAGCTATGAAGGAGTGACTGGGCCATACTTTTGTGAAAAAGGTATCAAAACATCGGCACAAGTATATCAAGATACCATTCTTGAGAAGGTAGTACAGCCCTTAACAACACCATGTTCAATAATCAAGAATGGTCCTTCCAGCAAGACTCGGTGCCAGGTCATGAAGCTCGGTCTACGCAGTCTTGGTTGGAAACGAACGTTTCGGACTATCAGAGCTGAAGACTGGCCGTCGTCTAGTCCCGATCTTAATCCGCTGGATTATGATTTATGGTCAGTTTTAGAGAGTACGGCTTGTTCTAAACGCCATGATAATTTGGAGTCCCTAAAACTATCCGTACGATTGGCAGTGAAAAATTTTCCCATGGAAAGAGTGCGTGCTTCTATTGATAACTGGCCTCAACCTTTAAAGGACTGTATTGCAGCCAATGGAGACCACTTCGAATAAGCTTTTTATACTTTAAATTGTTTTATATTTATGTATTAAACTAACACACTGTAAAAGTAATAAATGTTATTTTCAATAGAATTTTTTTTTCCTTTGTCTCAGTATTTATGGCAAGACTAGGTATAGTATGCTGTGCCACTATAGGGTTGGTACGTTTGTTGGTGTGTTGTGCAATTGTAAGATTTTTCAATATGAATAAACAGAGAAGGAATAAGAGAATTTCGTAATCGTAGTTCCGCTAGAGGAATGCGGGAAGTTTATTGTACAAAAGGCTTTCAAATTACCTACACATTTGTTATGAAAACGTGCTTATAACGTAATTATACTGAGACCTTAGAACTCATATCTCAAGGTGGGTTGCGCATTTACGTTATAGATGTGGGCCACCACCAGGTGGGCTGTGAGGTCCAACCATCTAAGCAATAAAAAAATATATTTGTAACTAGCTGCATTGAGGTGCCTAGCCATCATCGCTCCACGTTTTGTATGTTTTTGTTTAAGTTTCAATTTTTGGAAACGAACTTAGATCGCTGCTAACATAATGGAGCTTCACTTCCCCCCCAACGGAGACCCTCCCACGCTGGAGAACGTCGAGAAGGACTACTGGCGGGTGGTGTTGCTCGGCACGGACCACGTGTGCGTCAACTCGGCCTCCATCGACACCGGCAACGATGGTTATGGCTTCAGCAAGAACAAGAACGACGCCTTCGGGAAGCACCCCTGGAACTTAAAGGTGACACAAATGTTTTGAGGAGAGATTCCTCGGGCCTCGTCTCGTTCCGAATACGTTAGCTCCATATCGGAATATCGTAAGTAACATTTAAAGGATCTGTCAAACACAACGCGTACTTAGCGCTGCGTTTTAACGTCGCGCTCTTTTCATGTCACACCAATTGACTAGATGAGTCCAACGCTCCTTGACGCAACGCATTCGCCAAATCATAATGCCTTTCGATAGCAGTGTGAAAATTTAAAAGTATTAATATGTCGAGTGATTCAGATGTGGCATTGTATAATCATGGGTATTTTCTAACAAATTCTATCAATTTTTCGGGCACTATCCAGTATTATAATACACATTCACTCGGATGCTAAAATAAAATTTTTAAAAAATTACAACGCCTGACGTCAAAGCCTCCTAACGCCGCGACTGAGCGTTGCGTATCCCTTGTATCCCTTTTTACGAAAATTGCGCGGACGGAGGAGTATGAAACTTTCCACACTTTTAGAGAATATGTATAGAGAAGAAGTGCACAAATCTAATTTTTTTTTTTTAAATAATGCTTAAAAGATACATTAAATCAATAAAGAAAACATTACACACTACATACCATGTATTTAGTTGAATTTCGACTACTGCGGGACCTCTAGTTACCATAGTAGTACATCACATCTCGGCGTCATAGCGCGCCGTCAGCTTAACGCTCTGACGCGCGCTAATTACGCGTTCTGTTTGACGAAGCCTTTCGCGTCTAGCGAACGCTAACAATAGTTGTCCGATGCGAATGTTTCATAACAGTACTACTATGTTAAAACTTTGCGTGATTGAAAGACGGATTTTCGATTTTTTTATTTCGTGTTTATTGTGTACTATTTACGATTTAACGTTTTACGAATATTTCAAATTATTTGTGATCACGAATAAATAACCGAAAAACTATTATATATAGTATTTTTTTTTTCTGTGTATTTGTACTTAGATGCTGAGTCAAAATCCTGGAAACGTCCTACGGTCTCTGGGCTCTGTGTTAGGCGTTACTGTGCCAACTCTGCACCTCGGGATGGTCTTCTCGACGAGCTGCTGGCACCGTGACCCTCATGGTCTACCCTGGGTGGAGTACATGCACACCGGGCCTGGCAAGATATGGTAAGCAAATGTTATTATTGAAGACTGACTAACCCGGCAGACTTCGTAGTGCCTCAATCGATAAATAAAAGACCTAAATTTTTGTATGCAATAAACTTACAACAAACAAAAGAAATCCGTCCGACGGGGGACACATCAAAGGGAAAACAAAATTTTTATTTAATTCCGAGTATTTTCATATTTATCTACCTTTTAAACATTCTCTGGACTTCCACAAATAATTCAAGACCAAAATTAGCCAAATATATCCAGCCGTTTTCGAGTTTTAGCGAGACTAACGAACAACAATTCATTTTTATTATTATTGAAGATAATCTAGAATACTAGTCTTAATTAACTACAGTAAAAACTACTTATACGCGCATTCACTATTCGCGGATTTAATTGATACATCGACATTGATAAAAATGATTCCATCAATATGTGTATATATCCAACCGAATACCCTTTGTAAACGCGCTAATGCATATTCGTGTTTTCTCTCCCAAATAAGGAGCTTTTACTGTACTATAATAGTTATAGTTATAGTTTTAATTATAAACTAATTTATTTAGAGCAGCGTAAAATGAAAGAGAAATGTTCTGTTGTAACTCTTATATGTACGCCGTTGACTGATACATGTTTAATTGTAGTATAGTAACCGGCAAACATCTTGAGCAAATGACCTTGACTGCGCAGAACCGAATTTTAGATCACTTTGGTGGTGAGGGTGAGGCGCGCGACGGCAGGGGACATCGTATCGAGCGCGTTATTGGTAGATCAGTCGAACCTTGCGTCCCGCACCGCGCCCTCGTTCCGCTTGCTCCCAAAAGTACGCTTGCGTACAGTGAAAAGTCTATCGTTATTAATCGTTAAGTTATTTGTTATAATTGTTTGTTGACTTTGTTGCCATTGCTATTTGTTGAGTGTTTGTTGACTTTTTATAAAAAATACACTATTCCGCGACAAACTGGTGTAGTATTCAAAAGAAAGGGTAGAAAAATAGTGTACGACGTATATTGCTTCATTATAAAACAGGGGAAGAATGATATGGAAAAAGTAAAACAGACTTCAGAAGCAACAAAAACATCCGTGAGTACTGTTAGGTGCATTATTAACGAAGCTAAAGGCTCTGGCTTGCTCGCCGTGTTTCGGACTCCGGGTAAGAAAAGATCAGGGAAGAAGAAATTTACCGGAATGGATAGTTTCGTTCAATCTGTAATAAAAAGATGTAATCATAATAACTACATAACAAGCAGCGAAACTCCGTACCGTAGTAAGGCTTCGAAAAATTTAAAGAATATATAAATTTTAATGGCTCGGTATGAAGTTTACGACGAATTATGAAAGAGCTAGGCTTCAGATGAAAAAAAAACAGAAAATAATCGGAAGCTGGTAATTGAAAAAAGTTACAGACGATTACTACGAATCGAATATCTTCAAAAAATAATAAATATAGACAAAAAAGTAGACCGAACCGACCGAGTTGTAAACTACACCGATGATCCCTATGTCGACTCATCACGATGATAGCAACTCGGGTGATAAAAACAGTGATGATGTTGGTCAAGATTATGATAACGAAAAAAAAAAATTACAAATACCAGCTTCGCTTCAACTGAATCAAGACCTGGCAACAGCTCTAGTTTTGACTTAATAGAAGGAAAATCTATTTTACCCCAAGATTGAATTATTACAATTATTAACCTATATTTTTTGTTGATGTTCTCATAAATATATAAATAAATACATATGTTGATTTTAATAATTTAATTGCATTATGACGCAGAGTAAATAATGTTTTTGCACGTGAGTGTACCATGCGCAAACTTACCCCCACTACGTCGACAAATGCTCAAGAAGTTTGCCGGCTATTATAATAACAACTACATAATAAGAGTGGCCACTGAGTTTCTCGCCGGATCTTCTCAGTGTGTTGCGTTTCGGATACGGTGTTAGATTCTGCGAAGCACTGCTCTTGCAAGGGTCAGTGTTAGAAAAATCGTCAGGTTTGAGTCCTGCGAGCTCACCTACTCGTTAGGGTTACGCTGACATAGCCTCTCAAGGCCATCAGCTTAGGTAGGAAAAAAAAATCGGTTGTCTGTAAAGTCGGTTTACTGACGATAGTTGAACGTGACAACGTCATAAGAAAATACTGATGGAATGGTTTCATTTGTCAATTATCGCAATTATCGTTGCTATAAACAATTGATACCACATTCACTTTTCACTGAACTTCATACTTGAAGAAAACATGTAAATGTGTTATTGTATAGCAGCTGTCCACGCGGATGCATCGCTCACTCAAGTAGGAGAGAGACAGATGTCGAACGCTGCCGAACGCGGAGGCCGATTGTGCCTCTTTGTCGCTCGTAGCGCGCTCTCGCTTGCACTTCAAGCCTTAAATGGAACGCCTCAATGAGTCATGTTTTTTCGTGCGTGCAGCCGGCTCCGTCGAATTATAAGACGTTGTCACGTCAAAAAGGAGATATGTTAGTTTGTCTGTCCGTCTGTGCTCCAAACAATAGCAGTTTTTCACTAAAGCCATATAATTGTTAATGATCTTTATTGTTGCACTCACGGAACAGGTACGGGATACCGAACGATCAGAGTGACAATTTTCGTAAGGCGGTCGAAACCCTGTGCCCCACCTCGTGCCAGAACAAATCCATATGGCTCCCGTCGGACATAGCCATGATCCCGCCTAGCCTGCTGCGAGAGCACAACGTGTCCTTATCCAGGGTCGTCCAGAACCCGGGAGAGTTCATCATAGTGTTCCCGAAGGCCTACTCTTGCTCCATAGCAACTGGCTTCACGATATCAGAGAGTGTTTACTTTGCAACCAATTCTTGGTTAGAAACCGTACACCATGTTTTCCAGGTACATAATTTTCATTTTCATTTTAACGAAATATAAGTATCACAATTAGCTGCTCACGAGCACCAATTAAAAGATAAGTTCATTTCAATTAAACTAATATTGTTCATACTGACTCAGAGTCGTGGATTCGATTCCCAACTTGGTTATACATTCATGTAACGAACAATTTTGCTCTTTGTCTGGCTATTTTGTATGTATGAAAAATTCTATAAAACAGTCACCGATTACCGTACTACCGGGAATCCTAGTTTGGGACCAGATGTGACTTGTCTCAGAGTATTATTATACTATGTTAAACACGGGTCAGGATAAATGCATCGCGCTACATCTACACATATTGTGACTACTGCTACTACTACTACTACTACTGCTGCTGCTGCTGCTGTTGCTGTTGCTGCTGTTGCTACTATTACTATTACTACTACTACTACCACTACCACTACCACTACTACTACTACTACTACTACTACTACTACTATTATTATTATTACTATTACTTCTATCACTTAAGAGGTGTAACGTCTTGCAGGAGCTGCGGGAGAGCTGCGAGCCGACCATGTTCTCTCTGGAGCACCTGTTGGTCAGCATCGCGAAGGACAGCCGCTCCTCTCTCAGGATCTTGCAACGCGTGTACTCGAACCTGAGCCCGATCGTTCGAGACGAGCTCGAGTACCGCAACGCCTTGTTGATGAGGGGCGTCAAACTTGCCGAAGACGATGTACGCATATAAATATATTACCTATATACATTTTCATTTACACAATTCGAAATGCCGGCACGTCACACATAGGGAATTTGTGTATTTGCTTTCTTCGCGAAATAACAGCAACTTACGCAGCAGTAATTTTTTTATTTTTTTTTTATTGCTTAGGTGTGTGGACGAGCTCACAGCCCACCTGGTGTTAAGTGGTTACTAGAGCCCATAGACATATACAACGTAAATGCGCCACACACCTTGAGATATAGTTCTAAGTTCTCAGTATAGTCACAACGGCTGCCCCACCCTTCAAACCGAAACGCATTACTGCTTCACGGCAGAAATAGGCGAGGGGCGGTGGTACCTACCCGTGTGGACTCACAAGAGGTCCTACCACCAGTAATTACGCAAATTATAATTTTGTGGGTTTGATTTTTATTACACGATGTTATTCCTTCACCGTGGAAGGCAATCGTAAACATTTGTTGAGTACGTATTTCATTAGAAAAATTGGTACCCGCCTGCAGGATTCGAACACCGGTGCATCGCTACATACGAACGCATCGGACGTCTTATCCTTTAGGCCACGACGACTTCAGGCGTATTGTGTGGCTTTTGTTTTTTGTGTAAACTTAAATTTCTAAATTACTCTTTTTTTTTTCTTTGTTTACTTTCTACTTATATGTGATTTTAATGGTAAAGATATGTTTGGTTATTGTATTAGCTATTTTTTTTAATATTATATGTTTTTATTGCAGTGTTGGCTCCCCAAATAAATAAATAAATATTCTGTATGTTTGTCTGTATATAAATTTCAGCAATGTTAATAAAATAAAAAGAAAATCACAAGAAAGTCCACGAACAAGTCATTCAGAGAAGCCACGACCCTCAGTATTAAGGATTATTGAATCAAGCATCGGGATACAGCCAATTGAACCTAAAGAAATAATGTTGGCTTACTAATATCACTAAAATACTAATTGTTTTATTAATTGAAGTGAACTTGAGCGTTTCGGCTTGAAGGGTGGGACAGCCTGTGTAACTATACAGAGACCTTAGAACTTGTATCTCAAGGTGGGTGGCGCGTTTGCGTTGTAAATGTCTATGTGCTCCAGTAACCACTTAACACACACGTGGGCTGTGAGCTCGTCCACCCATCTAAGCAATAAATAAAAACACTCAAGGAAAAAATACGAATATTGAAATCATTAATACAGCATCAGATGACTTTTAATTAAATTGATAATTTTTGTTAATTATTAATTCGATAATTCAAATTATTTCTCCAAATATGATGTAGGCGTTTCCAATGCTTATACAAAGTTTCATTTTGGTTACCAGAGCCCGGCCCGTAATCAGAATCGCAGGCGGCGGGCGGGCGCTTGGAACGTACGTGAACAGGACGAGTGCGAGATATGTAGGACCACCCTTTACTTCTCAAAGGTACGTATACAAACGAATTTATATAACATATCCTGCACGCATTTGCATTTTTATTTATTGCCATTATTATGTGACGGCCATACGGCCCACGTGATGGTGAGTGGTTACCGTCGCCCATGGACATCAGCAATGCCAAGCCGCTGCATACCGTTAAGTACTCTCCGCGAGCCACGTTTGAAGAAGGATTGAAAAATTGCCTTGAGAAAGTTTGAAGTAGTTGTGGTCTAATGGATAAGACGAAAGAGGTACCACCACCCTGCCTACTTCTGCCGTGAAGCAGTAATGCGTTTCGGTTTGAAGGGTGGGGCAGCCGTTGTGACTATACTGAGACCTTAGAACTATATCTCAAGGTGTGTGGCGCATTTACGTTGTAGATGTCTATGGGCTCCAGTAACCACTTAGCTCCAGTTGGATCGTGATTTCATGATGATCATGTCTCAATTTTCGTATTAAAGAAGATGACTTATTTTTTTCCTCCTTAAGCTTGCAACTTAGTGGGCTCTACCAGAGTACTGGAATTTTTTTTAGTTTCTTAATTAATGTATACTTAGTCTGGCCATAAATACTGTTACAAAGGAAAACAAAAAAAAATCTACGGCAAATAACATTTATTACTTTTACAGTGTGTTAGTTTCATACATAAATATAAAACAATTTAAAGTATAAAAAGCTTATTCGAAGTAGTCTCCATTGGCTGCAATACAGTCCTTTAAACGTTGAGGCCAGTTATCAATAGAACAACGCACTTTTTCAATGGGAAAAATTTTCACTGCCAATCGTACGGATTGTTTTAGGGACTCCAAATTATCATGGCGTTTAGAACAAGCCGTACTCTCTAAAACTGACCATAAATCATAATCCAGCGGATTAAGATCGGGACTAGACGACGGCCAGTCTTCAGCTCTGATAGTCCGAAACGTTCGTTTCCAACCAAGACTGCGTAGACCGAGCTTTATGACCTGGCGCCGAGTCTTGCTGGAAGGACCATTCTTGATTATTGAACATGGTGTTGTTAAGGGCTGTACTACCTTCTCGAGAATGGTATCTTGATATACTTGTGCCGATGTTTTGATACCTTTTTCACAAAAGTATGGCCCAGTCACTCCTTCATAGCTAATACCTCACCAAACCATCACTGAAGTCGGATAGTGCCCACGTTGCACTCTGTCAACTAATTGGGAAGCTTCCTTAGAGCTTTGAGCATAAATACGGTCATTTTATTTGTTAAAATGTTGCTCAATTGTAAAAAAATTCTCATCCGTAAACAAATTTTTTCTATGACCTCCCTTTGCGTACCGCTTCAGTAGTTGTTTTGATTTTACCACCCCAATCTCTTTTAAATTATCAGTTAAGAAATGACCAGTACGTCTATTATAGGCTGCAAGTCCTAAGTCATCTTTTAAAATACGCGACATGGTTCTAGATACTATCTTCATCTCCCGAGATAAAATCTTTTGCTTTCGGACAGGATTTCTTCGAATTCTTTCCCTTACTGCTTTGACCACCTTTTTCGTACGAACACTACGTGGATGGCCAGATCTTTTTCTGTCGCAAACAGATGAGGTCTCATTGCACCTATTAATAGCCCGGTACACAAACATTTTACTAATACCAAGCGTATGGAGAGTTTTAAAAATTGCATTTGGCTCCATACCTACTTTGTGTAATGCAATCACAGCGATTCGGTTCTCTTTATGACCCCACTCCATTTTAATATCGCAAAATGTTGTACAATGTATTGGCGCCAAAATGAGAAAACTCAATGAGCAATCATATAAAAATGACAGATTCCAAATTCAAATGTAATATTTCGTTTATTTTTAATTGTAACAGTATTTATGGCCAGACTAAGTGTAATGTGTACTGTTTTGTAACAATGCAAGCGTACTCGTCCCTGATTGGTTGATTATTGTGCGCGCGGAACTAGTTGGCCACGCCTTAGGCATGTGAGCGGGGCGACGGAGAGGTGGGGGCGTTTTCTGTCATTACTGATATGAGATTTGATACTATGATGGATGAAATCATTTTAAACTTACAAGATGATTCTGAATCAAGTTCAGAGAGTTTAGAATCAAGTGATTCAGAGGCAATGTCAGAGTAATTTCATTTAAGTAATTTTTAGTTTGTTTTCATTTAAGTATATTAATTAAATAATTTCATATATCATTAAAATACGTCAGAATCATCTCATATACTTCTTTTTTTTGGTTCATTTTAACATTAATTATAATAATTATATTTTTGTTCATTTACTTCAGATTTTGGATCCATATTACATTCATTAACATTTCATATAGTATACCGGAATTAAATAAATATAATTAGATAGGTACAATATAAACTTCTAAATGTTTACCTAATTGTTTTTTATATGTTTATAATTTCATTTATTCATATTTTTTATTATTATTTAGTCATCACTGTCTAATGTTATGTGCGTTACGAGCAGTAGGCGACCCGCCCCCTCACCCCTGTCGCCACTTAAGGCGCGGCTAGTTCCGTGCGCACTATTATTAAATTGGAATATTTACGTATTTGTATTGTTTATAACACGCTATAGGTGGTGGGTATAACGAACAAGCGTTCGGCTGTGTGTATCCTACACGCGCTCCGCTTACTCGAATCCGTCAAGTACGGGAACAAAGACCCCTCAAACTACGAGATGGTACTGAACTTCTCCGATAAAGATCTCAACGAGTTATTGCTCAACGTACAGACACTATTTACTAGAAACTAATCATTTTTGTTTTCTTTATTTTTTATTTTTATTTTTTATTAAAACACATTTGATAACTTTTAGAGTAAGGTTTAGTCTACATTTGTATTCTCCTTTCAGTAATCATTTTTGTTTTCTGTATTATTATTTTTATTTTTTATTAAAACACATTTGATAACTTAAGTATCAGTAAGAGTAAGGTTTAGTCTACATTTGTATTCTCCTTACAGTAATCATTTTTGTTTTCTTTATAATTATTATTTTTTATTAAAACACATTTGATAACTTTTAGAGTAAGGTTTAGTTTATATTTGTATTCGCATTTCAGTATCGTATGTGATATGTTCAAGGTATTTATATGCTTAGTATTTTCACGCAATAAAAATGCAAATACCCAAAAAGTATTCGATTACGGTTTGTCTGACTAAGTTGAAACTTAATTCAGTTGTTATAGAGCTCTTATTATTATGTAAATCGCTTTTTAGAATATATTTTTTTCTTTTTTGTGAGAAACACATTTGATTTCGTTAATTAGATTAGAATGAGTTAGTGTTAATTGTTTTGAAAACACACTACAAGGGATCAGGGTATCCTATACAATTTCGAAGTACATATATCGTAATAAAGTAAATCTCGATAATTTGAAAATTAGGTTAATATTTTTTTAAATAAACAAAAATTTTACACCAAAAAATATCAAGAAAATATTTCGTTATTTTTATTATTATTGCATTTACATTCGTTCCCTTTGAGCAATTAATGTCCTCCTTTCTTTGCCTTATAACAAAAAAATGTAAATTTACTCTGAGATTTTGTCACAAATGAAACATACTGTATGACCTCCGCGTGTAGTTAATTATAAAAGTCTGGATAGATTGTTCACTAGTTTACAAATAGTGATTATTGACATTAATTTCTATGATGTCTCTCAACATAATTCAAGTAAGTGCTCTCAGATGTTGAATGTTTTCTCAGCATTTGTTCTTCGATTTTAACTAATACAATAGACGAATCAATATGTGTTGCACTCATAAGGGCTGAGTCTATGAATCACTAGGAAAGTGTTTTTCTATATGTGTTTTTTAAAGTAAGAGTAGAAGACATTAGGACTAATGATATTCATGGTTAGTGTTAGATTTTTTATAAAGATCTCATTCATATTTCTCTTTTACTATTTAATATATTATTATTAAGAAGTACCTTTTTTTAAGTTACAGGAGTAGTTTTGTTTTATTTTTGAGAAAAAAAAAACTATTGTCAACAAACTTTGGTGATTCTTTGATTGTTGACTGTTTTTCAAAACGACACGTCCCACTTTGTTGATGCATTATCGTAGACTTTGTGAGACAATAGGTCTAGATGGCCGAAACGTCGGCAATATAAGCTTTCGTGAAAGTTGTGTTACATTATATTATAAGCATTTATACTTAGATTTAAGGGTTTATCTTGTAAGTTTTTTGAATATATTACTCAAATTGAACGTTCATTTATATTAATGACGTAAGTCCCGCGAAATAGAAAAATGGCGGCAGTGCTCTACTAGGAGAAAACTGAATTTGAAACATTGAAACTTCCCAAAGGGTCTTGTCTTCGTTTAAAACTTAGTACACGAAATGTTTTAGAATTCGATTAACACGGAACAAACATTTTTCTACGCATGCTAATATTATGGTTTTTTTTTGTGAAAAATGTATCACTTACTTTGATATTATATTACAAAAGATTATGTAAAAAATTAAACATAAAATTTTGGAAACACGTTTATAAAATAACGAATTATCGTTTCGGAATTAGATGAAACCGGTTTTTGTGTCTATTCTGGAAATAAAATAAATATTGATTATGATCGAGTTTTATTTACCTAATTGTCTGAGTTACCGTCAATTCTAATTACTAGGATTTTCTAGAATTGAAGACATAATTATAAACGCTTTTACACATTCACCTAGTGTTCAACCATTCTAAGATATTATTCTGATGCTATTTCCGCGGCCTCTAATAGACCTATAAATATTCACCAATAAATATTCATCGCTTCGTGGTCTGTTGATCACTAAAATAAAAAAATAAATGGAGCGAAATGAAATTAAGTTGATTTATCTGAAGTTATCAATTGGGATGAATTTTAATTATAAGAAAGGGTTTTTTTGAATGATAAGTAGAATAAAACGAGACGATACGAAATGAAATAATGAAATATTGTCGCGTTACAATATTGCAAATTTACGGAGATTAGAAACTGGAAAGGCCTCTGGGCCACCAGTGATGATTCAATCATAAAAAAAAAGATGCCAGACTGTTAACAACCTTTTTATATGTTTTAACATGTAGAGACAATGCATTACAAAACTGAAAAAAAAATCACGCTTCGCTTTCCACATTCTGTGGTTTCTCATTCTGGTTTACTGGTGGTAGGATTTCTCGTAAGTCCATCAAGCGGGTAGGTACCACCACCCTGCCTATTTATGCAGTAATGCGTTTCGATTTGAAGGGTGGGGCAGCCTTTGTAACTATACTGAGATCTTAGAACTTATTATCTCAAGATGGGTGGCGCATTTACGTTGTCTATGGGCTCGAGTAACCACTCAACACCAGGTGGGCTGTGAGTTCGTCCACCCATCTAAGCAATAAATAAATAATAATAAAAATCTCGCTAAGAAGTTTAATGTGTTTGTTCTTCTGCTCATTCAAATGTACCTACAGGCAGACAATTGTTGCAAATTGATATGACAATAAAAACCAGCAGCGTAACGACAAGTTTTTTTATTTGTGCGAGAAAGCAGAAAGCAGGTAGAAATGGCCGGTATGGCTTGTTTTATTAACACTATCCCCCCTTCGGTGGCTTTGGCTAGCGGCAGTGGCGGAAGGGGGCGTGTTAACATGGCTTGGCGGCTTGGCTGGCGGCAGGGCATGACAGCTGACGTCACGTCTGTTACACAATTTAATCTATACTGACATATTATCTTGTAGTACATAATTGAAATACGGTGTTATTTCACAATTTATTGAAAATGCAAATTAACAACACGCACATTATTACTGGCAGTTCGCGTAGGATCGTTTGCAAAAGACTTGTGTTTTTTGTCACGCTAGAAATGAGGCAAATATATTTTGTAGTTGCTTTACTCTAAAATGCAAATCCATCCACTTCATCAACCTTCACTGGATTATGTATTTACAATCAGACTTAAAATATTACGGGAGTAGCTTTTATCCTCGCCAATCAGAGATAGTCCAGTAGAATTTTTTTAATTCACTTTCATTCCCAGACTCATTTTATTATTTATGAAAGGTCATTAATCGACGCTCTTAGTTACTTATTTTTTACTTATAACTTTCCTTTCATTGTTTTATACAAGTTTCTCCCCCTCAGACAGTTAATTTTTATAGTTATATTATATGTATAGTATAATACAATATAAAATAAAACACGGTTTTTGCCAAGTGGACGATATATTAAATACTTAGCACACAGAGAGCAAAGGTCTTAAAGATAATAACCTTAATATTTTTGGTTGGTATTCTTTCGAAAACAAAAAGCATAGAACAACTTGTTTTGTGCTTAAAATTAGACTCGAATATTAATGATAATTAAATTTTTATTTTACGTGATACAGTTATAACCATAATAATATTTAAAATAAAAAAACACTGGAATAATAATATAAAGAAATTAAACTTAGACCAGAAAAAACTAGCTTAATAACCGTGACAATTTTATGAAATAATTGAAACGATTTTATGAATTTGTCCCAAATTCAATGACAGAATATTATTAAACTTTGACAAGCGTTCAGTTAATAACATTATTTTGTAATTCGAAAACATTAGCACGGTGGCTTAGAACATAATGTTAAACTCTTATAAGGTACAACATACATAAAATTTTCCTTTAGTTGAATTACTTCAATTGTATTTGAGACCAATATGTTATTAAAATGAAACTTAAAAAAAACATAATAAGCAAGACTTACAGATAAAGAACAAGAGAATATCAGAGTTTATCATATAAAAAATATGTGAAACGCACTATATTATTAAAGTATGCTCCCAAAATTAAAGTTTCAGACGTAAATTGAAACAATTTACATTATTACGTCACACCGCTCTACTTTTTTACTAGGATGAATCTAGCGAAACCACACCTAACGCTGCGAGTGTCACAGGACAGCGCATACATAAATTGTGCACTAGAACTGCCTCACTACTTTTTGAAGCAGCTGGGAACAAATATTATTATTTCTGATAATCGAACGGTCCGTAATTTTTTTAAACAAAATATTTGGCAAACACTATTTTAAAATAAATAATTTTAGCTTATAATATTGAAACAAAGCGGAAGAAATACATATCGCAAATTATTAAGAACAAGTAATATAAGACAGAGTTTCATATTGAATAATACGTAATATTAGGTATTATATTACTTAAAAGGGAAATTACCAGAAGACTGATAATTACACCTGTGTGTTATATATTCATACAAAATGAACATATTATTATTTAATAAGTATTAAAACAATTGTTCTATTTCATTAAAATCTAAATTATCTACTAGAGGTTAAGATATAACTAGCAACGTTTTAAAAAACTGATATATTTTCTATCTTAAAATTTACATTAAACATCTTGTACCTACTAAATATTTTTACAAACGGTTCATTGAAGCGATACAAAGATGCGACATATCACAATTTCGAGTGCAGATCAATTTTGTATATTATTTTCTACGTGCAATTTTTATAAATAGATTTTAATAGTTTAGATGTGTTATCGCGCCCACACGCTCACTGTAATATTTGCTGAATATATATTACACCGAATATAGTACTACATATACTGAATATAGTATTATACCGCACCCATGAAACACAAATGTAGGACGCATTACTTTTGATTATTATTCATCGCATTCCTCGATTAACGTTTGCTTCACGACTAAAACAGGCAAGACAGTGGTACTTGTGGGCTCACAATACGTACTGGCACAATATGAGCATAGTCTAACACACGAGGATAATGCGTGTCGCCAAGCACCATCCTCATAGATAAAAATACATAGCAAGCATGGGTAGGCCTCCCGCAAAATTAACAAACTGCTGAAAGTCGGGGGTGCAGGCCTATAGGTAATTAAAACGTGCCTTAAGAGAGGCCTATGTCTCAACACCGGACATTTCTGGGTTGATGACGATACTGTATACTATAAATCTGCTGTATACGGTTTCGTATAATAAATGACATTGTGTTGTCAAGTGGTTGTGGAGCTTCCTAGAGTGAAATATTCGTTTGTGAAAAAAAAAAAATACACTCCAGTTTCTTTCTAGTGTTCAGTTACCCCAACGCATTGAGCAGTTGTACGCGGCACATATAAAAAGGTATTTTTTCATAATTTATGTGCTTTAGATTACAATAAACTCTAAAATCGAAACAAAAGAAACCGTTGATAAATTTGTCACTTCCAAACCTTTCGAGATTGTGAGGGGCCAGATTGGTGAAATTAAAAGAAAATCAAATTGCAAATTCACTTACAGACGAGACGAGACAGTGAGATATTCGCATTACGCACCTACGCTTTCTTAAGCGTATATTTAAGCTATTCATTGTTTCATCAGTCTTCAACTGCTTCGATGCGAACTAAATATTTTAAAGTGTGTTTTGTAGTCTAATTGAAAGACGAAAGAAAATGAAACGAATGAATTTCCAAAAGCGAACCGACCGGGCTATCCTCGTTCAAGAGCATAAAGGGCGTCACACACGGCCAAGATACTATAATATTTTATCCTTAAATGGACGATTTTTGTTTCACGTTTTAAAAAAATATATTTGTGTAATAGACATGTATTACTGTCTAGGAAAAATGAGTAAAAAAATCTAGACATGAATTTACTATACTTTTTTTCAAAATTCTTTCAGAAATAAGAACTAGTTGTCAAAATTAACAAAAAATTAAAAGAAGGTCAATTTTATCTGTGATGTTTAGTATGTTGTTTAAAAACAACATTGTTCATTTAAGGGTTAACATACAATATCGCTCGCTATACATTTTGTATGAACTATAACCATATATCGATAAAATATTATAGTATCTTCGCCATGTGTGACACCCTTTATACGTGCAATTTAATAACAAAATAGGCATATGTTATACGTGTGTATATATTGTGACGAGGGGTCTGTCGAAGGGTTGTGAATTTGAGGGCGGCGTTGCTAGGGGAGACGTGCAACTCAATTATAAGCCAGACGGCAATTTGGAGGACGCTTTATGTAAATATTATACGCACGGGGTTTTAAACAAAGTGATTTTCTCATCTTATTTCCAACCATTGGTATGGGAGCGTGTATTCAGAGTACACAAAGCTCTACAACAAGCTGTACCATTTTCTACATTTAATTTTATAATTTCAAACTATTTCCGTTAAGAATTGTCTGCTCAATCTTAGAAACAGAAACTCCCAATGTAGTAATGATATTAAAACGACTTTTCACAAATCCGATAGGACTTCTCTGGAAGGTTTTTAACATACCATACTGGTCACGCTCGTAGCTTCTGTTATTAAAGCGTAAAACCACAATGTTCACTCGGAACATCATGCTCTTCCCAGGATATTGTTAACTCATTATCTTTTTGAAAACGAATGGAAACTGTTTTTTTTTTTCAACTCATACCTACTTATTCATCGATAAATTCAAAAGGTATTACTACTTACGTAAGCACTGTCTCAATTAATATGATAACACCTTGTTGTAGGATCATGTTTTCTCCGTTGCCAAAAAATTAATAACATACCTTTTGTATTGGATTCATCTTTCTTGAAAGCTTTTTTTT